CTGAGTTCATTGTGCTTTTCAGTTTTATTCGGCTTTTGAGTTTCAAATTTTTCTTGCTTTTTCTTTGTTAGAATAAAAACCTGTTTTTCGGTTTTAATCGTTCGCAGTTAAAGTCGGAAAAATCGACGTGGGATGTTCGCGACACGCACCTCATTCGTAAAACTCCGCGCGGCGTGCGAACATCAATTTTTTTTCTCGCTGACTTTTTTGGACTTGCATAATGGACTTCGCCTAAAAGGGAAGGTGTGCTCCTAGTCACACACGTTTTAAATTTTGCTACAAGTTGCAACTTTTTATTGAAACAGATCTCTCAGAATAGCTCACGAAATCTTGCATGGATGAACACCCTAAAATCAGCCTGCATGTTCCCCATACTGTTCTTCGTGCATAAAACGCTAACAAGGAAAATTTGTTTATCAGCCATGAGCTTCTTTGGTTGGTGAGAATTTCCTTTATTTTCGCGACCTTAATGTGTTATTTAGAGGTGATATGGTATAGAGAAATTAGATGCTGGTCTCTCTTAGGATTCAAATGATTAAAACAAGGTGAAGTACTGCAACAGTTTTAAATCCAGAATTTAATTTATTCTCAATTAAATTAACTAGTTTCATTCTAATGCACGTGATTACAAATGATGTGAGACACAAAGATTGCAAACTTCAAGACATTATCTTAACAAAGTCAGGGCGCTTATTCTGTAAATAGCATTAATCATTTGGGGCGAAAGAGCTTCTGGGAAAAAATCGATTAACAGTTGTTTGTGTTACACCTAAGTCCCAGTTCTCGAGTAAAATGCCTTTCACTTCGCTAATTGTTTTCTTTCACGTGCACATTTTGCATTTGCATTGCACTGCCGATTCTACTTGCACTATAGGAGAGATTCCTGATCGGCAGTCTGGAAGATTAAACGTTACCATTTGTGTGCTAGACGGCTTGCAACATTCGCAAACCTTCTTGAAATGAGGTGAATGGTCCAGCGGTAGTGTGTACGACGCGCATGTGCCAAGGCAGGCTTTTACTCGGACCTTCTGGGATCCACAACCTGATTTGGTGACGGGTCGTGTATAGGTTTCTGGTTTGCAGTACACTCCAAACTTTTCAAACGGGTTGTAGGACGTGCTCGACGAGATGAGGGCGAGAAAAACAAGACAACAGAAAACCCCAAACGGCTTAGACATGGCTAAAACCTAAAAACATAGTGAGCATCTATTTAAATTAGTTTCATATGACTTCTACCGAGAAAAGTTGACTTGAACCACAGTACGTTCATACAAATCAAAAGCTTTTTTAGTCAGTGGTCTTTCGCTTAATTCTCGTTACCTTAGTGTTCGATTTAAGGGTGACACTGCGGAGAGAAATTAAATACTGGTCACTCTGAGGAGTTTTAAAAAGGGTTAATTGCCTTGAATCGACGATGAAATTGAAGAAAAACTGAGTTTCTGACGACAACTATCTTGTCTAAGACTGAATGTATTGAAACGCCGGAAAGCCGGTAAGATCAGATGAAAGAGATCCTAGTAAATCAAATGCAGAACAACGTTGGCTGTGAAGGAAGATTTTTACAAATATTCCACCAATTTTAAAGATGGTTCATAGCAACTCAAAAATGTCAGTCACTCTCAATTTCATCGTCGGCCGATGAGCCACACAGTGGCTAAATAGTTAACACGTATATGAAAAATATGATTACAATTTGACCAACACTTGATCCACTTTTTAAGGTGTCTTTCCACCACGTTACCCTTTTAATGCTTGACTGCGTTCCACATATCATGAACAAAGCGAAACCGCAGTTTTTGGTCATTTGACTTCACTGAACTTCAACGTTTATAGAACTTTTGTATCGCAGCAACAGAAGGCGCGCCAAACCTCTCTTATTTCAAGAGTCATTCATCTCTCTTGCAACACAGAAAAAAACGCAACAGACAAACTATAGCCGAGCAGCATTTTAATTATTTTAATGAAAGACAAATACGCTATAAACATTGTAACAGAATTGCTAGCGTCGTATTTCCCTTTCATTCCTCAGAAAAAAATATCGTTGAGTCTTTCCTTAAAATCGTTAATTGCAGTCCAGCGAGAAAACGACATTACTATTCTTTGCAAAAATAAACGATGTTTACTATAAAAGCTAGAACCGCTACAAACGCGCATTATGAGCGTTCAAAAAATTTCGCGGCCGCTTTCTCGATATATCTTCTTACACCATTAGAGAGCGTTAAGAAAACAATTTTGCCCATCAGCCTCTATTACCAATTAACCTTGTTTACTTTCCCATTCGTCACCTGCAGTGTAGTAGTCGGCACGTCCTCTGTTCAAAAAAATTATGCCCTTCAGTTTAATGGGGCGCGTCTAAAGGGCGCGTCTAACAGAACTTTGTTCGTTATTGAACCAAAAAAAACGATGGATTCGGAAGAAAAATTGAAATTCCATATGTTAACGATCGCTTTGAAACGCGCGAATTTTGTCATTTGACTGAGGCGCAGAAGTACAAACAGAAACATATTTTTCTGTATAATTCGTTTGCAGTGTTGGAAAGGGAATATTTCTCATGGAAATCGTGTACAACAACCACCTGCTGAGGAGTTAATTGTAAAATTCAAACAGAAACGTTTTTTTTTAAATTGAAAGATTTGCAATTTTCATACGAATATAATCATTTTGGGCAGAATTTACACGTAACAAATTTGAATTGTGCGCCATCCCATTAGGAATCGGAAATTCCTTAAAAAAAATACGTTTTTCACTTCAACAAGTTACGATTTCCAATAAGGATTATTCTCGTAGTAGAAATCGGATTAAAACAAAAGAGGCTTTTTTTAAGCAAGGGGAAAGGAAATCTTTCTGTTTTTTAATCCTCTAAAGTTGCTAAGATAACACATGTGGAAACTTTCATTGAATGCATTCAGAGACCATTGTGGTTTTGTTTAGAAGGTTCAATCTCACTCTAAAATTTTCACTCAATGTTCTAAAATTATTTCGAATGGCACTGCTAAGGAGAATCTGTTAGCTATCATTCGTCCTATTCTCAAGAGGTTAATATTTGATTTAGCACTGTTACTGTAAGGAGAAATTAGACGCTGGTCAACCTTATGGTTTTAAGGGTTTTGCCATGTTTACCAAAGCGAAGAGCTTGTCGAGGCTGCAAAAGCACCCTTTTTATTTTAGCAAACAAATTTGTTTTTTTTCCTCTTTCTTCGACCGGAACACGAAGTAAATTTATACAAAACTATGATGAGTGGGCGAGGGAAGTTTAAATTCAATTTTTTTTGCTTTGCGTGGAAATTAAGAGCACTTCTGAATAAATAAGGAAGAATATTCAAGTTGCATTAACACATTTTTAGCTCCTAACAGATCTTTTGAGATATTTTGTCAAATTTAGGAAATAATTTCGACTTAAAATACGGATCGCTTTAATACAGATCTCACTCGAACATCGAAGTATATAGAGAAACAACAATTAATATAGAGAATTCAGTTCATTGGAACGTCCTTTAAAACGAGGCCTGAGGCAGATTAAAACTGTTCTAGGAAGCAATAACGAATGTTAGGCGTCTCTTAACCAGTGATAATTGCACGATTTTGTTATAACGTTAAAATTTGCATTTCAAATCAATATTTTGCAACGTGACGCCTCAGAGGTATTTTTCAAAGCATTGCTGTAAAAAAATCGAACCCAATTTACACATTAGCGAACAAAGAGAACCATAATAGAGCGTACAAGTGCTGTAATTGTGCCAAAGCGCATTAAAATTGGCGGGCAACACAATCTAAACCGTTGCTAAATTTCTGAGACAGACGCTTACCTCAAATAACAGTCTGGAAGATACAACGGAGCCACAGGATCGCAACAATGAAGGTAAAACGACAGAAAACCGCTCCTGTGTTAATGACGGTACTTGCCAGTAGAAATAGGGAATGAAATCTGAAAGATACGTTCACCGCCTACTTATACTATAGCTCTCACAAGATTCAGAAAAGCGCGCTCTAGATACCTGATCCTCTTTGGCAATTTGATAATTTAAGGTCACCTCGAGATGGCCAAAAATAACAAAATTCCACGTGGATCGGTCGGGGTCCGGTTTCACTTTTACCAGGGGGTTGGAGGGTGGGGCATTTTAGTCGCTGCTTATCGGAATAGGGGTCCCTTTTGTTTTCTGTTGAAAATAACAAATTTGATATTCTGTCCTAAGGCATGACAAAATCCTTTCCACCCACTTCACTCGTGATGTACCTGCAATAAATTTCTCAGGTTCTGACAAAGCGCTGCATTAATTTTTAATATTTAGGAGAGGAAACTTCGTGGGTTACGTAATTTTTACTTTTAAGACGAATATCTCCTCTAAACGCACGTGTGAAGCTGAACCTTGTCTCATTAGTTGGACTCAAAAGAAGTACTTAAAAACTCCGTTTTAAGATGCTTTTACTAACGAAGACCCGGTATTGATAAAGGATTTTTTCCACTCGGAACCAAGGTAATAGGCTCCGTCCTGTTTCCACCCAATACGAGAAAAAATACTGCCGCATAATGAACGGAATATTTCTTAGCTCCCCAACCTGGTCACTCCTTGTAATATATAGCCAGCGACCCTGATAGATTTAACGAACTCCGCTATATTAAATTAATTTTTTCCGAGCCTAACATGTGGGAAAGCACTCTCTGAGAAAAGCGACGAGGATAAGAGCCAGAGACCCATGACATTTGATTAATATCTTAATAATTTCAATCTCAAGCGTAACTGTACGGGCAAAAACGAGAGCAAATAGGAAACTAATAATATCTTCAGCCCGTCACAGTCTTAGCCTGATCTTAGGCTTTTGCCATGTTTCGCGCAAAGAGAAAAGAGGTTTACGTTTGGGCCCTAGTCGCGCAGGTGACTCTAGCTTATTATCGCATATGTGCCTATGACGAGCGACCTTTGTTTGGGTTTGTCACGCCACAACAACAAACTCAGCCACAAGGGAAGGATATATATGTGGAATTATTTCTTTGCAAATAATTTTAAAAAACGTTCTATTTTCATTTTATTCAAGAATACTTCTCGTAATAAATCACTCTGAATTATCGTCACAATAAATTCTGTTAAGTTAAATAACCAATTTCAATCACTTTACGACAGTGAAGTCATAGACATCTCAATACATTAATAATTAATAATTATCAATAATGCTTCAAACATTTCCATTACTTTTCATCACTAGTACAATCATTGTATTAATCCATTCTTGTATCTTGCCAAGACTTCCGAGGCGTTTGTTGTAGCGTGACTCGACGCTTGCTTGACAGATTGCTACATCCAGGAACATTGCGTGACAACCAAAAAGCGGTCGCAAGAGGAGTATTTACAATTCACTAGAGATAAAAAATACTAAAAGAAAATAAAAAAAAGGCTAGCTTCTCTAACAGGCATAATTGTTTTCATCAAAATAATCGTTTCGGCGGCAAAATTTCGCGTCAACCATAATCGTCACTGTTTCGTATTTTGGATAAGGAACAAAGAATCCCGAAGCATCATTTGAACTAAAATTTACTTTTGAACATCACTGAAACTGAAATGCATGAAGTAAGCCTGCGCCTGCCCCTCGATAAAAAAAATACAAATACTCTTAAATTGCTTCTTATTGTCATGTCAGGCACAACGAGTTTTGGAACTAAATCAAATGTGAAAACCTTCGCGTTGTACTAGAGGCGATCTAACTTTCACACCTAACTGATGACGACTATGTTGCATTGGACGTCACGAGGTAACGCAACATTCGTGACAATTCAGCGCAAGCAGCGCTAACACTCCGTTCGGCTAAACTCTGCAGAATTCCGCGGACCTTGAACAGATAAATGAGGGACAGTCAACTAGAAAAAATTTTAGGGATGAAGACGAGGATGAAATAAATAAAATTATTATATGTCAAGGTAGTCTTGAGGCAAATCCGAGCGTTCTGATTGGTTCTTTACTTAATTGGTATTTTGTTTCCAAAGCAACGGTCGTAAGCCACGTAATCTTGAATGAAAAAGTCGGATAATTCAAAATAAACAAGTTTGGTCTGAGTACCATATAATAAACAACTGAACGACTGAAACATTGGCCCTCGGTAGATTTTGTACCGACATCGCTGCGCTTAGACCGTACTTCCACGACCTCGCACCAATATTCGCCAGTATGGCCCTCACGTTTGGTCAATAAGAAGTTACCTTACCAGGGATAAAAGAGGAAATACAAACAAACAAACAAATTCCTCCATCCTTTCCTCCCCTAAGAAATTTAGTTCTAATGGTCCGTCCCGAGGATATGATGATCACAGTTAGAATTTTAGTTGACAACAAATTGATCAAGAAAACCATATAAATTTTCAAGTTCTCGGTTCTGGGAAAACTAACAGAGGATATTTCAACACACATTCCATGATATGCTTAATTGCATAATTTAACGACTAGAAGGACGGTGAATTCAATTTATCCAGAAGGCCTTGCGTCATGTCTTCCCAGCAATCCGCGCAAGATTCTGTAGTGGTTTTGTGGGTAGTGGGCTGAAATCAGAGATAGAAAATAAACTTTAAGATAAGTTCACAAGTGGGCTAAAAAACGCCCACAGCCCCCTTCGCTCTGGCGAAGGACTAACGCTCGAAACGTCAGCCTTTAAACTCTTTACGGTGGCCAAAATACGTTTTCAACTCAGTTGATAACACTAAATTACCCTGTTATACTCTCCCACCGACGCAGCAGCACAGTTTCTTTAGAAACTTTCCCCCTTTAGAAAAGGCCGTTGACACTGTTTCTTGAATGTTTCAACGACTTTCGGAAATTAAACATAAGTAAAAATGTTGATGGCCCTTGAACTTATAGTAACGATATAAACGATTCTCATGAAAAAGTAGATGTTTCCTTGTAGAGTTCAAGAGCTTTTCTATCAAGTGATGTTAAACCAAAACAACGATACCTATAACAGCCGATCAAAACAGATGAAAATATCGCTAGTAGCCAATGAGAACTCAAAGTCGGAACAAGTAAACTCATTAAAGCGCGGGAAAAAGGGCGTGACCAAGCCACAAGTTGAACATATATGATTGGCCAAGAAGGTGGCGCGAAGTTTCTCAACAAATCATGAAGCAGTTAAGAATTCTACGATTCATTTCCACACTAAAATCTTTTTAAAGCTCACAACTTGGAGCAGTTTTCAAACGATTAGCGAAACACCGAAAAAGAAGTATTCATTCTAGCTAATCTTAACCCTTTACACCCTAACTTCAGTATGCATATTCTCCATACTGTTCCCTATACATTTCCTAATGTGCTAGAAAGGAGAATTTGTTAAACAATCAAGAGGTTCTTCAGTTGATTATCACTTCCTTTATTCTCATGACCTTAATGTTTGATTCATGGGTGATACTGAAAGGAGAAATTAGATGCTGGTCACTCTCCGGGATTAAAGGGTTAACAAAGATAAACATCATCGTTAACCGGTGATAACTCATAGTAACAACGGACAAAGAAAAAGGGCGGGAAAACGCGGGTCACCAAGTCACATCTAGTATTCGTTTAGTGTTGGTCAAGAAGCAACGAAAAGCGCGGGAGAACGCGGGTCACTAAGTCACATCTAGTATTCGTTTAGTGTTGGTCAAGAAGCAACGAAAAGCGCGGGAAAACGCGGGTCACCAAGTCACGTTTAGTATTCGTTTAGTGTTGGTCGAGAAGCAAAAAAAAGCGCGGGAAAACGCGGGTCACCAAGTCACGTTTAGTATTCGTTTAGTATTGGTCGAGAAAAAGGGGCGAATTTTCCCAGAGCGAGATGGGACAAAAAAAAGTAACCCCGCCTTACCTTCGAGACTTAATTGAAAATTGCTCTCATGATGACCACGATTTGGACTTCTCGTCTATTAATTACCAAGTTTGGTAGGTAAACAACACGAAGCAAAGACCAAAACGCCCTCCTGAATTACTAAATTAAGATACTAATATTTGAGTACTTACCTTTTCTGTTTATTCGCAGGAGCCTTAAGGAGTTCTTTATACTGATCACAGCGGATAAAACGCCGATAGCTGTCGGATTTCATCAGCTGAAATATGTGATCCTAAAAACGAAAGCATGAGATAACTGTTTAACATAATCAAGCCTAACGCCGCACACACTTAAAAGTGACGCGCGTTTCTCCATTCTCGAGAAGATCTGAAACGAGTCGGAGAGAGGTTTGCCGGGGGTCTGGCACTAATAATTAGCAGTGCTAGACCCCTTACAGCCTTCTTCCTGACTCGTGTTGCGCAAAAACCCCACATTTTCCCACGGGCGAGAAACACTCGTGCTAAAGAGCTTACGATGAGGCCCTGCCCGTTGTCTAGTTTCCATCTTTCCGAGCCAATATTCTATTTCCAGTTGAAAGCCAATTGGCGACGTTGGACAAATCTTGTTTCGTCTTGAAACTCACCTGAGCGGAGTCAAACATATATCGGCCGGGATTTTTTAGATTTAACTCCACTTCTTCTCTTGTCTTGCAGTCCACGTTAATCGGAGACGTTGCACTATCAGATAAATACTCGCTGAAAAAAAACAAAAAAAATTTTAAAAAATAGGAGTAAGAGCATTTGTGATTTATAACATGGGAATAACCTTAACTTCTGGGTGTAGTAGCCCCTCAAAAATCTTTTAAAACAAGTCAAGAAGAAAAAACAATTCCCCACATATAACTTCGTGGTCACCACTTAGATGTTTTTGCTACACCAAGTCACCTGCCTCTATTTTTCCGACCATGTCACCGGAGTGTTTTGTACTTACGTGTTTGACACAGGTGGATTGAATCCCTGCGCGTCACATATTGTAAGTGTGCATCTACAGTACCATCTTTGTGGCTCGTGATAACAAACAGACCAACAAACGAAAAAAAAAACACTTACTTAAAAATTTCTTGAGCTTTACTTGGCACATTCCGTATCGGCGTTGCTTTGAGTTTCTCACAAGCTAGCCAAAATCTAAAAGAAATAAGACACATGCAAACTTAACCCCTTCACTCCCAAGATCTCATTAGTAATTCTCCTTACTGTCTACTATACAATTCTCATGATGTTAATTCAGAGAATTTGGTAAAAGATCAATTCATTATCTCCTAATTGATAATTCCTTTTATTCTCGTTACTTGTCTGCTTGATATTGTATTGATATTGTATGATATTGTATTGATATTGTATGATATTGTATTGATATTGTATGATATTGTACTGATATTGATAATTCCTTTTATTCTCGTTACTTGTCTGCTTGATATTGTACTGATATTGTAAGGAGAAATTCAGTCTTGGTCACTCATGAGAATTCAAGGGTTATGGAACAATGCTCTTCTATTCAAAAACAAAAACAAATTTTTATATCAACGACTCACTACAAAAGACTTCTTGTGAGGGATCAGTCTTCCTTTATCGCCAGGGGGGTGGGGGGAAATTACATGGTTTTCAGGGAGATGGGGAGGGTAAGTGACTGCTAACAGAGTAGAAACAGGAACTAAAGAGGAAAGAATGACAATAAAAAGCAAACGCGGGGGGGGGGGGGGTCGAAGAATATTACAGAGCCTTACAAGGGGAGGGGGGGGTCAAGTAAATTTTATCGCGACACTAACAAAATCCTCCGTGCCCCCCTTCCCCCCCAGGTGATAAAATTGACTAGTCCCTGATCATAAATATACGTTTAAAAGAAAAAAAAGGACAAACAAAACACAAGTTTAGATTTTACCCTAGATTTTCAGCGCTAATTTCTTTTTCCAAAAAGCGCGCAAAATGTCTTCTGCCCAAAGGATCAGCAAGAAGTTCTGATAATGAGAACGCCCATTGTTTCACACGCTTTGGAGGAACGTAATGTCTGGAAGACAAGAAATCATTTAGTGTTAAAACACAGAACTACACACGAATACACCGCTTTCTTATATGGCAGGTAGTCCTGAGGTACATCCGAGCGTTCTGATTGGTTCCTACTTGGTCAGGTTTTTTCCCCCGACGTTTCCACGTAAATTGTCATAAGCCATGGTCGCAAAAGCCGGCAAATTAAAATTAAACAAGTTTGGACTGAGTGCCATGTAATTAACTACCTCCTAACCTCCCTTACTCGAGCCGTACAGAGGAATATTGGCCCTCAGCTGTTTTCGTATGCCACGATCTAGGGCCAATATTCCCCAGTATGCATCAACTTATTTAATGATGGTGACGACAGCCACATAAACACTGAAAAACTTGCGGCCCTCGCACTTGACAAGTAAGAAATTTCTCTTTTCTTTAACTTGGGTTCGAATCTAGGAATTTTGGATAGGGCAGGTTCAACTTCGATTCAGAAACACAACATCTTTCCTTCAACACTAGAACCTTAAATAGTTAAGTTGAGTAGTACCAATACCCACAGGTCAGACGGGACGGGCCTCTGGATCCCCCACCCGACCCCCCTGGATCCCTGAACAAGTAAATACGCAGTAGGTCTGACGGGAAGGGGGTCCAGATACCCCAACTGACCGCCCTCTGGACCCCAAAACAAGTAAATAACCTATAGGTCTGACAGGAGGTGGGCCAGACCCCCCACCCAACTTCCTCTTTAACCCCATTACAAACTGCTGCTAAGTTTCCATAAAGGAGCTTGTCTAAAACGGTGACTTACAAACTCTTGTCTTGCTCCCAGAGTGTGATATCATCAGATATCCATGGATTTGACGGCTCTGGCGCCCAAATAAATGCATCATATTCTGCATACTGTTCACACCTCTGGATAAAACTGAAAAACAAATTATTTAATTCAACTACACGGACGAAAAGCTTGGAAGCTAAGCAGGCAAACTTCCCCGGTTGAATGCTTTCGACCAATCACATTTTTCATAGCTGGTGTGATGTACAAAAACAGGTAGAATGCTCAGGAGACGTTTTATTCGGAGGGTTACAAGCTTGCCTATCGTCTACCCCCAAGGTTATTGTGTGAGACGGAGACGGGTGGGTGGGGGGGGGG